GACCAGCCCGGGCAACATAGCAAGACCCTGTTTCTACAAAAACTAAAACAAAAAAATTAGCCACGTGTGGTGGTGCATGCCTGTAGTCCCAACTACTTGGGAGGCTGAGGGTAGAGGATGGCCTGAGCCCAGGAGTTTGAGGCTGCAGTGTGCCATGATCACACTGCTGCACTCCAGCCTGGGCGAGAGAGCAAGACTCTGACTCTAAAACCAATAAAAAGTTTGAGAAAGGTGCTCACAACCACCCAGTGTCTTCATGACTTGGAGATGCTCTCCAGGGCCTGGCTTTGGAACACGTGTGCAGAGTGAGGCTGGGCCAGGGCGACCCAGGGTCACAGGCGGCAAGTGTCCCTTGACACTTTCTGGCTGACTGGGGAGTGGGCGGCACATTCCAGAGGCCTCTTGGATCACACTGAAAGCACCAAAGGGCTGACGTTGAGCTCTGGGTAAACACAGGCACTCCATGACCCGGTGTGTTCCGCCCCCAGCATTCCGGGCCAGGTGAGGTGGCAGATTTCTGCAGAGATGGCCATTCCAGGCACCTGCTGGGAGGGTGGGAGGAGGTGTGGGGCTCTGGGAGGTGGCACTGACCCAGGTGACCCAGACACGCGCGGACAAACCCGTAGGTAGATGTGCTATGGTCTCCTGGGGCCCAGCAGACAATGAACCCCAGTGGGCGGAAGATAACAAGATGAGTCTTTGGGGAAAGCATCCCCTTGGGGGCCACCAGAGCTGAACCTGGCTGGGCAGAGGGAGCCTTAGTCGTCAAGGCCCTCGATGGGAGCACAGGGGCCGTGTGTGGGACTTGTGGTGAGACCTGGTCTTGGCCACAGGGGATTGGGCCTCTCCCAGCCCCCCCCAGCCATACCAGCGAGGCTTCCACCAGGGCCAGGCTTCTGCACACCCCTCACTCCGGGGCTTCTGCACATCCCTCACTCCGGGGCCGAATTTGGGCTGAGGATCCCAGCCCTGGGGCGGTGCTGGGTCTACATTCCGTCTTGGTGAATACTTTTACCTCCCGCAACTCCAGCCACACCAAGCCCACCCAGGGCCGCCTTCAAAGTGAGTGCCTGGCCTGGGCAGGTGGGCTGCCCCACGTTCACTCAGCAACTCCAGGCCCAGGACTTGAGGATGGGCCACTGACTCAGAGGCCCTGCCCTGTGATTCACCCACTGCAGCACCTGCTGGCCTGTCCGGCCTGACCTGTGCGACTACCAGGAGCCTGGTCAGGCTGGCCTGCTCTCCAGGGCCTTCCCAGCATCCAGGCAGGAATGCAACCTGGCCACCTCCTGCTGGCTGGCACTGGCCCCTCGGATGGAGACTGGCCAAGTGGAGGGGGATGGGGTACAGTTGTCTGGTCATGCATCCTTGGAGCTTCCCCCATGAGGTCGTGGGGCAAGACAGCAGAGAGAGGGAAATCTGAAAGGTCACTACACCTCTCCACAAACAGCAGGAGGCAGCATCTGGTCCCAGCTCAGCCCTGCCCTCTCGTGCCTCTGGGTCCCCTTGGGTGAAATGGGGTCAGCGTTGGGCACTGGCCCTAGGCCCTCATGGTCCCCCATGGAGAGCCACCCCAGAAGCATTCATGAAGCATCCTGAACCTTGGAGGCGTGACCCGAGATGCAGCATACACATTGGCACACAGTGGTGACCTCAGTAGTGGCGCAGGCCAAGGTGATGACCTGTGGGCGGCTGGGGCTGAGCTCACAGCCTGCCTGCTTGTTTGGGCAGATGCCAACCTTGATGTTGGTGGAAAGATCATTTCCAGACATGGTAACGCTGAAGCCAGCCCCCTGCGAGGGAAGCATGACCTTCCAGGTGGGAGGGCCGTCCAGCAGGAGCAGGCCTGGAGAGGGACAAGAGGACCCAGGAGGAAGGGCTCTCAGGGCAGAACAAGAATGTGGCCTGAGGGCCTGGCCTGCGACTCTGGACTGAGGCCTCAACTGAGGCCTCAACAACGTTCCTGCCTGGGCTTCCATGTGGGCCACCCTGTGCAGTTCAGCCAGCCCCATGCTCACGTGGCTGTCTCCTTAAAGACCTAACTCGTTCACAGAGGGAGTGGAGGGGCGTGGGAGGGAGGTAAGGGAGGATGGAGGGAGCGACAGATCTATGACAAACACCAGGATAGAAGAGTAGATAGATACATAAATACACAGGGGTGTAAGTATACAACACATGCCAGGGTGGATTGATGGACAGATGGATCCACAGACTCCTAAGTATCTAATAAACACTGGATGGGTGGCTGAGGCCTGGGGCCAAAGCTCCCTGGCCTGCTCTTCTCTCCCAGCACCAGGCAGGGCCCCAAGGGGAAGCCTTTTGAGGCAGCTCAGGTACCCTGCCCATCTCAGAAGCCCTGGGCCCAGTAGCTGCTCTGGATGGCCGCATGGCCCCAGGGCCAGGGCCGGCGGGTTCTGGGCACCCCACACACGCTCTGGAAATCCAGCAGGCCCATGAGGTGACCGAGGCGTCATCGACACTCCAGGTCTCAACAGCCAGCCCAGACAAGAACCTGCTGGCTCCACCACAGGAAAACCAGCCCTGGTACAGGGCCCGGCCCAGGTTGGGACCCTGGCCAGGCTGGGGTGGCCTCCGTTTCCCCTTTCCACAGAAGATTGCCGATCATCTCAGAATGCTCAGTTTCCTTTTCTCCCTTTCGGATGTGTCTAAACCACAGAGCAGGCCAGATAACCCAGAACACACGGACCCCATCCAGCCCCGCAGCCCCCATTGGCCCCAACACGCCAGCCCTGCAAGTGTGTATGGTGCAGATGACGGCAGCCTTCCAGAGGGCGGGTGCTCCTAGCTCCTCTCCCCGAAACTCCTCTGCCCACCCCTCGTGAGTTTCGGGATGTCCTCCAGGAAACAGCACTGCTGTGCTTGGAATTCCATCGGGGTCACTTGCAAGGGCATCCTGGCCTGCGGCTGGGCTCTGTTTGGGGCAGGAATGCAGAGAAGCTGCTGCAGAGCGCCAGCCCCACCCCAGCCCGGGGCCAGGCCCCACCCACCATGGAGGAGTGCAGTGGTCCGTGGGCGGGGAGTGTGGCAGGAGTGGTGAGCCCAGAAACACTGGTCCCAGCCCAGAGTCCTCTCCTACCCTGATCCTCGGAGCAGAACGTGGAGGAGGGGGCAATCACAGGCCTTCCCATGAGCCAGCTCCAGATGCCCTGCTCCGCCCGGCACCCCCCCACTCAGAGCCCCCCTGGCGAATGACTGCGGAGCCATCAGCTCTTGGCCAATGAGCCAGACCCATCTGGCAGGACCAGCCCATGTCATCCTTGGCCACCCAGGAGGGAAGTAGGAGCAAAGGTCACCAGGGTCACAGGCCAAGGCCACGCAGCAGACCCAGGTTTCCCTCCCACCTCAGGGCATCTCCACCACCCGGGAACAGCAACCCCCACGCAGGACTCCAAGGCACGAGGGAAGTGAGGACTCGAGTCAGATCTCCCCTCTACAGGGTTGGAGCCCTGCTCCCCACCACAAGCCTCGCCCACCCCCATCCCCTACTTAGCCGGGTTCCCAGACAGCGAACTCTCCTGGCAGCCAGTGGACACGCACATGGCTCTTCCGCACCCCACCCCCACAGCCAGACCCCAGGTCTCCAAGATGCCTCCCAAGTCCCTGATAGGCGTGCCAGCAGCGTCCCCTCAGGGCTCCCCAGCCCTGAGTACAGACTCCTCCAGGGACCCACAAGGCCCTGAGCTATGTCCCCGTGGGTGTGTTTTGGGGAGGGGGCTTGGCCACCCAATCTCACAGCATGCCCCCCAAGGCTTGGACTGGGGTCTCCAGCTGGTCTGGGTTCCTCCTGTTCGGCCTGGCACAGTGCCTGAACCATGAGCTCCTCACATCGGCCCATGCCCCCCTCCCCATGCCCTGGCACTGGGACCCCACGGTGGGAGTGTCCCCGCACTGGGAGTGTCCCTGCAGCTGTTTCACCTCCCCAGGCATGCCGGCGTGATAAACTCCCCAGGTTGGGAGGAGAAGCCGATTAATCAGCCACTCAAGAGCAGGGAGCACGCTGTTCCCGCATGGGGGAGGCAGGGTGGGAACAGGGATGTCCCTGCGAGAGCTATATGTTCAGTTCCTGGAACACGAGGAGAGAAAGGGACCGCCACGCTGCCCTCTCACCCGCCACATCCTGTTTTTATGGAAAACTAATCTGATTCCCAACAGCGGAGCGAGCAGCGGAGTCCTGGGGGTCCCGGGAGGCCGTGACGACGCCCACTGGTGAGGGCTCTTGTCCGGATGGCAGGGCCTGTGGCCTCCCCCAGCTCCCTCCCGGGAAAGAGCCTCCACCCCCGGTTCAGGTTCAGGAGAGACAGCATCGATGCACTCTTCCGGGCAGCAAGGACCTCCCCTCGGCCTCTGCCAGCCTCCACCAGCCTGCTCCCTCAAGGCCTCTGGCAGTCTGCAGGGTAAGGATGCTGCTGCCACAATGGGTGGGTCAGAAAGTTCTGGAGACGCCACAGTTGTGGGTATGGTGGCTCAGAGGCTGCAGTCTCCAGAGTGGGAACAGCCCTGGCCTGAGCTGCATGAACTCTCAGTCTCAGTCTTCTCTTCTGTAAAGTGGGGCGCTAGCCCCATCTACTTCAAAGTTTGCTGCGTGAGATGCCCCCATGAAACTGCCGCACACAGCAGTGTTGGTGCTAATTCTTATTAGGCCACAGGCTGAGGCCCCTGAAACACCTGGCATCAGAAGGGCTTCCACAACTTAAAAGAAAAAACTTAAAAAAAAAAAAAAGAAGGGCTTCCAGCTAAACACAGAATCCACTCGTGTTGCAACCCCACACACATAGCCTGAGGCAGTCTGACATGACATGGTGACCTGTCCTATGAGGTCAGGTGTGGGGTCTTCCCTGTGGCCTCTCTCCATCGGGGCTCAGGAAGTCTTGGGTCCTGGAGCATTTCACATTTTGAATCTAGGGTTGAGGACGCCCGCCCTACAGACTGGCGGAGGCCTTGAGGGAGTGCCATTTTCTTTGTGAATATGAAATGACCCAATGAACGCCATCCAGGCGGGCGAAGATGCTGTGGGACTGACACAGCCCGTCTTCCACCACCCCAGCCAGCCAGAGCCCCCCAAGCTGAGCGTCGGGCCCTGCGGGCACCACTAACAGAAAAGAGGAGGCCCCTGCCGGGTTGTCATTGTGTCCCCTGGGGTCCTGGGTAGAGGCAGGAATGGAACTCAGGCCCCAATGGGGTGCAGGAGATACAGGAAGAGGGAACAGAGGCTAAGGGGCAGAGTGGACAGGTCACTGGGGTCCTGCTCACCTTTTCCCAACACCAGACGGCAGGGCTGTGGGAGTCCCTGATGCTCTCCAACCTTGTGGCGGGACCACTGTGCCTCTGCCCCTAGGAAGTGAGGGGTCTTTTACACAGCCAGTCCCGGGCCAAGCAGGATGGGCATCTTACAATCTGAGGCAAAAGTTAGCTAGGTGGGGGACCTGAGATGAAAGTGCAGCTCCCAGTGCCGGGCAAGGAACTCCATGTCCACAGCACCTCTCAGAAGACCTGCGTGGGGGCAGCAGGGGTGCGCCAGCTCCACTCTTAAAGAGGAAGGGCTAAGGCTCAGAGAGGCTGAGTGACTTCCCCAAGGGCGCCCAACAGCAGGGCTTGGAGCTGACTGCACACGGCTGGCAGGGGAGGCGTGACGAGAACCAGGATGGGGGCCGCTCGAACCCCACAGGCCCCATCGCACGGCAGGAGGAGGAGGACATGCAACTGCGTGAATGCAGTCTCGGGACTCCCATGGGGGCAGCTGCAGGGTTGGGGGGCACACATGCTCAGGCCTGAATCTCGGCAGGGTCACCCACGAATGCACAGTGATAGCATCAGGAGAGGCAGAGCTCTGGGCCCGCTGAGGTCCCAGGGCACAGAATGGCCCCGCCTCCACTCAGGCTGGGAAGAACAAGTGTCCACTGTGGGGACACAGGCAGGATGATGTCCAAACCCCATCTACACTAGCTACTGATGTCCTGGGACCTCCTGATGGGGAGGCTCTGGGCTTGGCCAGAGTGACCGTCTCACACCACCCAGTCCTGGGTCCAGCAGCCCCTCATGTCTCCAGGACTGAAGTTCCACATCAATGTCTGACCTGGGAGGGACCGGACCCTAGACATGGCAGGGGGCTTCTGTGGCTTAGCTCTGGTAGGTGGGACCGCAGTTGCCCCTCAAGGCCTGTCCATGGCAGGTGGGGGCTGAGGGGCACAAAGAGCCACTTGCTCTGGCTTCCTCCTGCATAATGTGACCCACCCTGCCCCCCTTTCTGAGGGGGATGGGAGGCAGCTCGGCCCAGGCCCTCAGAACACCCCTGAGAAGGCATGAGCCCCCCTGTGGGTATGCCTGCTCCTGGGGCAGCCCCACCCTCCACATTGGGGCCAGTCTCCCCTCCATGCATGACCAAAGCCCACTTGGTCCCCAAGGCCCCCAGCCAGCCACAGGCACTCCTGCCTGCAATGCCCACTGGATGTATGCGACCTCCCAGCTGGCCTCCCAGCCGGCCTCCCAGGTACCTAGGGGGTCTGTTGGGCTCTGGAATGCAGTGCAGCCTGCTGGGCCCAGAAGCCTCTGGAGCCCAGAGCTCGCAGCACCCCCTCCTGAGCCTCCCCTTCTAAGCCAGCAAGCCCGTCCTGAGCCTCCCCCTCTGGCCTCCCTGGCAACTCCTGGCCTCAAGTCCACTTCCACCCATAACAGGGGACCTGGGTAGAGGGGGTGAATGAGGAGACAGGACCACCCCCCAAGGCCAGGGGCTGAAGAAACTCCTGAGGGAGAACCACATGAGATGAGGTTTGCCATCATCTGGCATGGGGGCAGGGAGGGGCCTCCTGAGGCCAGAGGGGGCTGTGTGCAGGGGTAGGCAGAAAGCCAGGCTCTGGGAGCACAGCAGGGATGCCCCCTGTATGGTCCTGTCGGGAAGACTGAAGGCTGTGGCTGGTACCTCCCCGGCTGCAGCCCCAGGGGCTCAGGGCCACCCCAGGTCCCCGACACCAGGGGCCAGACCCAGAGCTTGGGAGTGGGTCGGAGGAGCAGTGGCAGCCACCCCGTGCCCAGTGACCTCCCAGGCAGTCTTAGGAGGGGCCTGAGTGGTGCGGGGATGGTGGCCCCAGCTGGACATCTGCCCTGGTGTCCAGGCCCCTCCTGGAGCCTGCCTCAGGCACTGCGCTGTTACACCACTGTTCCTTCTCTGAAGGACCCCAGGAGGGCGTCGTGTCATCTGCCTGATGGGCAGAAGAGGCCCTCACCGGGTCCCAGGGCTACAGGCCGGGTTCACAGACCTGCTCTCCAGGAGCGGCCCCACCCCGGGGGTCCCCTCAGGCGCTACTATCCCTGATCACCAGCACCTCCCTGCAGGCCCCCTCCTCCCCAGGCATGGCTGACCTTCAGAGATTAGGGCCCACCCGGCTGCCCTCTCCCCCGTTGGGAAGGCCTGTGCCCACTGATAAGGTCAGGGACATGGCTCCGGGCACAGCAAGTCACTAGGCAAGGCCAGGGGAGTATGACCTCTGAGGCCCCAGTGACAGCACCATGTGTCACCTCCTCCTGGCCTGTCCCCTCCCGCCCACAGGATGGCAACTCCCAGCCCCAGCCCAGACCAACCATGATCGTTTGAACTGGAGAAACATGAGCACGTGCTAAAGGGACACACCCCTGCGGCAGACAGGACAGCCCTGCTGAGATGTCTCACCCTGGAGCCCATGCCTCTGAGAAGCAGGTCCAGTGGCCTCCTGCCTGGGCAGAGGAGAAATGGGGAAGGCAGCTGGGTCCAGGGAAGACAGAAAAGGAGGTGCCACCCTGCGCCCACGAGGCGTGGTCATCCAGGCGAGGATGGAGCTCAGGGAATGAGGATGGCTTGCCTGGGGGCACATGGGACGCCCCAGGGACTCAGTGACAGACAAAGTGCCCAGAGCACCTGGTGGGCCCCGAGGCCGCCCTCTCCTTCCAACAGCCGGGGATTCACCCTCTGGGAGACAGTCAAGAGAAGAAACACCCGCTGTGTACAGACATGGCCACAGCCATTTCTGAGAATGATGATGGGTCACTCTGCTGGGGCTCAAAGGAGCCCCTCCACCCAGCAGACACCCACAAGGCCCGGTCACTGCCAAAGGAAAGAGTCCCAGCCGTGACAATGGGCCACAAGTGAGTGACAAGGGCAGTTGTGTCCGAGTGCTCAGCGGAGGGAGCAGCCTGCCCGCCTGCACAAGGCCCGTGGACACGGGGTATGAGTGCTGGACATGAGCAGGACAGCAGGGCACAGGCCAAAGTAGGCCTGGAGGAAGCAAGAGGCCAGCCGGCACTGAAGCAGTTCCAGAGGAGCCCATGTACCCACAACTCCAGAGATGGAAAACGTGGGCCCTGCACAGACCCCACGAGGAGCACGGGAGGACTGGGCAGGTGGAGTGGACAGCACAGATCTGAGGCAGAGTCCAGAAAGACCTGGCAGGGCAAAGGCAAAAATTCTCAAAGCAGCTGCAGACTGGGTCAGGATCTCACTCTCGGTGAGGGTGGGGTGGAGTGGCATAGTCACGGCCACTGCAGCCTTGACCTGCTGGGCTCAGGGGATCCTTCCATCTCAGCCTCCCGAGTAGCTAGGACTACAGGTACCACCACACCCAGCTAGTTTTTTTGATTTTTTGTAGAGACGAAGTCTGGCTATATTCCCCAGGCTGGTCTCAAACTCCTGGACTCAAGCGATCCTCCCTCGCCTCGGCCTCCCAATCACTGGGGTTACAGGCGCGAGTCATCACACCGGCCTTAAAACGGCTAAAGACTTGAGAGACATCAAGGAAGACATCGGGAGGCAGCATGCAGACCGAGGTGACGAGCCTCACTGGGCACCAGGGACATGCACCAAGCCACAGGATGTGCTGCCCCAGCCTGCCGCTTGGCTAAGACCAGAGGCTGACCACAGCACAGGCAGGCAGGGTGTGAGCACCACCCTGGCCTGGCCAGCAGGACCCATGGAGCACAGCCTGGGGAGCCCAGGGGCAGCTTCCTCTTAGGTGAGACATACCAGCCCTACAGCCCCAGGACCCCACTCTAAGGTTCAGGGGGAATGGCAGGAAGTCGTGTGTCCACAGACACAGTCACTCATACTCGCTGACTCGGGGACAGGAGGCAGATAAGAGGGTGGACAAGCACACGAAGGCATGACCTGGAGTAACAAGGGAGGAATGCAGGCCCACACATGAAACACATGACCTGGACACATGACACAGGCCCACACATAACCTGGTCCCACAAGACACAGGCCCACACATGACCTGTACATACAGCATGGGCCCACGCATGAACCATACAAACTAGACACATGACATGGACCCACACATGGCCTGGCCCCACACGATATGGGCCCGCACATGACCTGGACACACAACACAGGCCCACACATGACCTGGCCCCACAAGACACAGGTCCACACATGACCTGGCCCCACAAGACACAGGCCCACACATGACCTGGCCCCACAAGACACAGGCCCACACATGACCTGGACACATGACACAGGCCCACACATGACTTGGACACACGACATGGGTCCACACATGACCTGACCCCAGATGACATGGGCCACACATGACTTGGACACACAACATGGGCCCACACATGAACCACATGAACTAGACACATGATATGGACCCACACATGACCTGGACATATGATATAGGCCCACATATAACCTGGACACACGACATAGGCCCACACATGACCTGACTCCAGAAGACAGGGGCCCACACATGACCTGACCCCAGATGACATTGGCCTACACATGACCTGGACACACAACATGGGCCCACATATGAACCACATGAACTAGACACATGACACAGGCCCACACATGACTTGACTCCACACGATATGGGTCCACACATGACCTGGACACATGACACAGGCCCACACATGACCTGGGCTCACACATGACCTGAACACACGACATAGGCCCACCTATGACCTGCCCCACATGACACGGGCCCACACATGACCTGGACACACACACAACCCACGTGAGTCTAGAAGCATCATGAGCTCAGGAACACACGAGCTACCCTGGCTCCATGTACGCATCCCAAACACAGGCAAGAGCCACCCGCAG